TATAAATATTTATTTTAATTTTTAATTTACATATAAGCAAACAGATACCTCAGTCCAGTAATACAAATAAGACATAAAGTAGAAACGTTAATTTCTCCCTGTATAAAGGTATATGAATGAAATGCAACAATTGACTTTGTGATGATGTGCCTGTTTAAAGGGTGAATTTGACCAATGCTTCAGCATTTTGTTGTGTTAGGTTTGTAATGGCTATATATTTTAAAATTCTGTTACAATATTTTATATAGTAATGGATGATAACATGTTTGTGTTGAATCACAGAAAGTGTTTAGAGCATTTGGACTGCATATTATATGCTGCCATTGGTTTGAAAATAATTGGAAATGTGTCCAAATGTAAAAGCTTCTGAAAAATCCTGTGAAATTATGTCACTGTAATGCCACATTACTGGGTCTGGAAAAAAATTTTGTCCCAGAAGAAATAATTTTAATGTAAAGGAAGCTTCAGTCATTGTCTGAGTTTCAGCCATGAATTAATGGGAGACCTTTCTGAACATGGTCCCAGGGGACTGCTTGATGTCACTCTCTTCAATCCTAATCAGTTTAAGAATGTATTGCCAATTTATAGTTAACAAATACTGTTACAATCCTTTTAAATAGAGCATATCTGGTTGTTTAAAATTAAGTACAACCCTTGTCTCTTTGTAATAGGGCTTAGCTGGACCAGAAGGTAACCCAGGTCCTAAAGGTGTAAGAGTAAGTAAGCATTTTGGCATGCATGTTTATTTTAACCCATACATAAGAAAAGTGGTGAGGAGTTTAATTCAGCTGTGCCAATTGTATGCCTGCTTGAACAGCAAAAGAAAAACCATAGTATTTCTTTCAAAATACATTTAAGGATTTAATTCTTTTTTTCCCCATGGTGAGCAGAATAGAGCAGTCTTAAATTGTTGCCCTTCCTCTCACTCGGAATGCATGCAGGCAAGAGAAGGAAAGCAATACTGAATGTGGGGGTGTGAGAGCTAGGAGCGAAGAGGAGTGGACATTTCCTGCCTGAAGCATTATTTCCATAATAGAAGCTGTCAAGAAGGCAGACATATCTGGCATTTGCAGTCTGTAACAGCTACAGAAGTTGATAAAGGGAAACCGTCTTGTCACATAAAAGTGATCTTGAGATTTTAGAACCATTCAGTTCTAGTCACGTGTATGCCAGGGACTGAAGGCTCTTAATGCTCTGCTGATTCAAGGTTTGCTTTTGATTGGTTTTTTTGTTTTGTATTTTGGGTTTTTTAATGGGCGCACGTGCATGCCTAACGTGCTTGTATAAGTGTTTTTTCGGACTGACTCACCATCAGGCAGTGGGCATGGGTTTCCAGAAACTTGCATGTTGCTGGTTACACCTAGGATTTGAAGGAGCCTTTTGCTAGGTGTTTTCAGGCCCTCAGCTCACGCTGTACAGGTTGCTGAGCAGTGTGCTGTGTTCACAAGTATCTATTAAAATTTTATTGTATTGCTAGATTTTCTATTGTTCTGGTTTTTTAATGATGTTACTAAAAGACTTTACCTGCAGCAGCAGCTTAAACATATGTCTGTTTTTTGGGGGTGGGGTTTTTTGATGTTGGTTTTCATTACAGTGATGGAAAAAATTAGTTTGTCAGGATCAAGTGCCAACAAATATTGCACCCTCAGGGATTGTATCTTTTACAATTCTTTGGTTTATTTTTGCTCAGGTTCTCAGTGCATTTTGTCTCATTCTGCTCTCAACCAACGAGATATTAAGTGATCCCAGTCATTTCCTAAAAAGTTACTACTTTTCTGTTTACACAAAGCTAAAAATGGCCAACATATGAGTAATTTTCGGGAAAAACACCTGTCAGGTTTTAAGGCTAAGTCCTGTGTATGAATTCTACAAGTAACTTCCAATAAAAATGATGGTGCAGCCCTGTTGAGACATACTACTGTGCTATGGAGGTGTATAGCAACATGACACAAAGTATCTTTAGAGCTGTAAGTTTAGAACATTGCTGCAATTAAACTACACTCTTTAAACTCTTTCTCAGCTGTTTTAAGAAACTAAAGTGCCTTTGTTTTCCTTACTCTCATTAGGGCTGGATGACAACATGGGCAGTCTTTCATGATTTAAAAAAACAAACAAAAAAACCCCACAACAACAAACCAAAAAAACCTCACAAAGGGAACCCAAAAACCCAAATCATTACAATTGGAGGACTGGAGAGAGGGAGAGATGAAAGCAAGGGATTCTTTTTTTAGTAATATTTTTGTTCCAACCTCAGTTTGAATCTAGTAGAGCAGAATCCATCTATACTACTACTTTTATAAATTGTACTATCATTTCTGCTGAGTCAAGAGCATGTTTCTGTGTTCATACAACTGATTATATCAGAGGATATATTTCTGACTTTCTGAGGGGAAGGTGGGAGAGATGCATTGTGGCTGAAATTTAAGAAAAAACATTCTGCTTATGACAAGGTAAACTTTCTAAGACTCTTGTATATAGCAGTGATCACACAGTGTTATTAGAGATGAGAACATCTTTCCAGATGTATTTCATACATAAGGTTAACTTCAGTAGCTTTTTCATGTTTCATTTATTCTAATAAATAAGGTCTCTGATGCAACTTTTTCTTACTGGAACACTTCCTTAGTACTTCTTTATTAATTGATTCTGTACCCTCATAATAGGAAATTGCTCTTGCTGTTGGTTGGAGAGTAAATCCTAGTCACATTTAAATTGATTGAGCTTCACTAGTAATTTCAAATGAGCCTGAATTCAGTCCCTGGATCTTGAACCCACAGATGGCCAATACTGAGGGACAAGCAGTGTTGGTGGGAAGCAGCCTTGTAATCAAGAATTGTTCTTATGTTTTTAGGGTTTCATTGGACCTCCAGGAGTGGCAGGACAATCAGGACCTGAAGGAGAAAGGGTAGGTTTAATGGAACATTAATGAAATATTGATGTTTGAGTAGTAATGCAATATATGTTAGAATGGGGAAAAAATGTACAAGGTATAACCATTCATTTGAGTTTTTGTCTAAAAGCAAAACTGATGTGGAGGAAATTAAATAGGTCATATCTAATTAGTCTAATCAATGGAATGCATTGGTGTTCTAGTTAAATGAGGAGCAGCTGTAAATTATTATTTGAATGTAATCAAGAGCTGCTAGGATTAGTGATAATTTTTTCTTACCACCAAGGTCCATAATGCGTATTTTTCATTGAAGCAATTTCGTTCAGTCAATAATTAATATTTTCCAGTTGTCCAATGATGTTTGCAACAAAGCCAATCTTGGAAGTCTTAATCTCTCACTCTGTGCTTGAGCTTTTTCTTGCTTCTCTTGAGCACAAAGGATGTCTGGCCATGTGCTTTGATGGAAGCAGGATATGGCCCTTCATAGTTGTTCTGATGTGGCCACAGTAAAAACAAGCAAAGTTTGTTTCTCCCCCCTGCCCCCTGTTATAGGACGTTGTCTTCTATGATTCTTTGCTCAAATTTTTTTTTTTAATGGTGCTTCTTCTTACACTGTCTTTTCCAATCAAATGCAGGTTTAGTTACTTGAATTTAAGCTATTGAAGAAAAGAAAACCTACTTAATGATGGGTTATTTCTTTCTCAGGGCATCCCAGGCTTCCGTGGAAAAAGAGGCCCTAAAGGGAGACAGGTAAAGCTTCTACCACTTGTTGCAATTTCTGCTGCCAATATAAATGCATCTGTAATTCACTCTGTAACTTTAACCAGCTGAAAAATGTCAGTTTTATTTTTTCTATGGATGGCTTTTTGTTGTTTCCAGTTAGTACTTTGCAGTACTGCAAATGCTGTGCAGGTTATAACTACTAGATGTTCTGAAGTGAGGAACACTTAACATGATGAGCCTGCTGGTTACTGATATCAGCTACCTGGGGGTTAAAAGATGACAGAAGCACATAAATATATTCTGTAAAATTAGTGTTAGCATAAGGTACAGATGTGACGCAAGCTTCGTAAGTCTGATTTTGGTGTTGCTTTGAATGCAAATCAGCTGCTTCTAATGTCTGATATTTCTGGACTATAGTAAATTAAAGCTGTCCTCAACATATATTTCTACAGCTGCCAAGTATACATTATCAAGGTTTACATATTTCCTGTGGTATATCTTCAATGCCAAGTGTTTTGTTTTCTGCTGCAACGTTATTATTTTAGGTCTTTGAAGCTATTCAGGAGTTTCTAATTTTAACTTGCTTGTGGTTTGAGATTGGTAACTGTGATAGCATTCTGCAGTCATGCGCTCAGTTGTGCTCAGCAATTCAGATGACTTTCAGCTAGCATGTTGAACAAGCTTGTTTGCCATCATTTGGGCCTTGGTGTATGGTAAGAAAGTTGTGAAGGGTTCTGTTTAATTATGTTTTGTTTTCTGTGTGACCTAACACCAGCCAAAAAAGGAGAACCCGGACAGAAAGCAAAGGTTTGGTTGTGCTCAGTGCGTAAAAGAAAGGACATTGCAGCAGGGTACTCTGAAAACATGTTTTGCATCATAATCTCATTCTCAGTGGCAGGTTTCACCAAGGCTTCTGATTGCCAATGTAGTAGTTTGTTTCAATCCTTAATAGTTGGTGCTGTGCATGCTGTGGTAAGCAGTTATTTTTCATTTACAATAACAATACATCTTCTACCAATGACAAGTTATGCTCTGATTAAGGACTTTTATTTATATAGAATCATAGAATGGTTTGGGTTGGAAGGGACCTCAAAGATAATCTAGTTCCAACCCCCCTGCTGCGGGCAGGGACACCCTCCACTAGACCACGTTGCCCAAAGCCTCATCCAGCCTGGTCTTAAACACTTCCAGGGATGGGGCCTCCACAACCTCTCTGGGCAACCTGTTCCAGTGCCTCACCACCCCCACAGTAAAGAATTTCTTTCTAACATCTAATCTAAATCGACCCTCCTTCAGCTTGAACCCATTACCCCTTGTCCTGTCACTACAGTCCCTGATAAACAGTCCCTCTCCATCTCTCCTGTAGGCCCCCTTCAAGTACTGGAAAACCACAATTAGATCTCCCCGGAGCTGCCTTTTCTCCAGGCTGAACAACCCCAACTCTCTCAGCCTGTCCTCACAGGAGAGGTGCTCCAGCCCTCCAATCAGCTTCATGGCCCTCCTCTGGACTCGCTCCAACAGCTCCATGTCTCTCCTGTACTGGGGCCCCCAGAGCTGGATGCAGTACTCCAGGTGGGGTCTCACCAGAGCGGAGCAGAGGGGCAGGATCACCTCCCTCGACCTGCTGGTCACACCTCTCTTGATGCAGCCCAGGACACGGTTGGCTTTCTGGGCTGCAAGCGCACACTGCCGGCTCATGTTGAGCTTCTCATCAACCAGTACCCCCAAGTCCTTCTCCTCAGGGCTGCTTTCAATCCATTCCTCGCCCAGCCTATAGTCGTGCTTGGGATTGCGCCGACCCACGTGCAGGACCTTGCACTTGGCTTTGTTGAATTTCATGTGGTTCACACGGGCCCACCTCTCCAGTCTGTCAAGGTCCCTCTGGATGGCATCCCTTCCCTCCAGCGTGTCAACCCCACAACACAGCTTGGTGTCGTCCACAAACTTGCTGAGGGTGCACTCGATCCCACTGTCCATGTCGCCAACAAAGATGTTGAACAAATCAATTCAGAGAGGTTTCACAAAGGTGACAGCACCAAAACCACCTCTGCACATTGTCCATGATTGCCTTCATTCAGACTCTGTAATGTCATTTCCTCAATCCCAAAGTTCATTCCACATTCTTTCTATGATCTATAAAGTACTTATTTGACTAAAGGCTGCTAATATAGGGACCAAACCAGGAGAGCAGTTGCATGGGAACCTGTCTTGTAGTACTTTGCTGGATCACAAGTTTAGAGAATGTGTGTTATTTTAACCCCAGACAATGATAGCTGTGATCGCAACATCTTTCAACACAGTGTCCCAGAACTAACAACTCTGGTGCTTTGGTGCAGGGTACTGTCGCTAAAGGAAATTTGTCATAGGAATTACATTGTGCCTTATGTCAGTTCCTCCCCTTGTGTTCTAGGATGCAACTTATTTCTTTGGATAAAACTTCTGTCAATAATAATTCTTGAGGGGAAAAACCCCTGTCTGACTGGCAGAGATCCTTCTGAAAGAAAACAGATCCCAAATATGATCTCACTTTTGGAAAGCAATATTAAAGTATAAGAAAAGTGGATCGTACAAGGGATTGTACACTTACAATTCAAAATGCTACTACTTAGCAGGTTTATTGCATAGTTATTCATATTTGTAATATCTCTGGCATATTTGAAATGGCACAAACTGTTCTTTATTATAAAGATTATAGAGTGAGATTTTGTTTGAATTTTAGATTAGTTTTGCATACAATATACTTTAAAGAAAATATTTCATAGTAAAAGCATATGTATTCAATTTCTTTCTCTTGTATGCTTGTAATATGAAACTTGGCTAGTTCTGCAGTTTAATGCATTCTGTCCTGTTAGTATGATGCATAGTCATATTACATCCATGATATATACATGATATACTTTGACCTCAATTGGGGGAATGTTTTTATATGGTTTTATTCTATATGGGATTAGTTGCAACCAGTGGTCAATGTGACAGAACAGACCTTGTAAATTACATCAAGAATTTTAGTTGAGTCCATTGTAACTGTAAAAAAAGTTCAGGTTCTGTTTTATATTATAATTATGACTAGTCATGCTTTGTATGCTTTATAGTAATGTTAAATGATAATATTGATGTAATAAAACACTTGTACAGTAGTATTATTATATTACTTCCAATTTTAGACTTTTCTGACTATTCTATGTTGCATTTTCCTTTCATTTTTCTACTTACTAAGATAATTTTATCAGGATCAGTTAGAAGACACATGCTGTTGAGAATGGGATTATGATGACTGTGGGTAATCTGTCCCTTTCATAACTCATGATATGCTGGGTTCTTGCTGTATATAAACTGTCATCTGTGGTTTGCATCTATGATCTGGTGGCTGGTAAAACTGTCCCATTGCATCCTCCGTTTCACTTTCGATGTCTCATTTGTGTGTGGTTTGGTTTTTTTAAATTATATTCATGCGTGTTATGGCAATTCTGCCTCTTCCAACATCTACCAATGGTACGCAGTACAAACAAAATATTATGCTATTGAGGAAAGGGTAATGAATTAGTCTTTGTCTACATCCTATTAATTGGTAGCTTTTAACATCATAGGCACTGTCAAATACCCATTTTGCATGTGTGAGATTTTACAGTACGTTTTCAGAGTTGTGCAAAAATTTTGCCAATGTACAGATTGAGAATCAATGAAGTCTGCTTTACTAACCATTAACCTATGAACCTCTACTGTTTAAATGATAAAAGAGTAACCCTATAAAGACCTGTACTGTCAGATCTTACAATTATGGCTATAGATTCTTGTTTGTGAGTTCCATGATCAGATCCTGAATAAAAATTTCATTGTTGAGAGGCATTACTATCATTTTGCTTTCCTGAAGTTGCAGGAGAATGCAGAAAAAAACTCCAATGAAAATCAACCCAAAAGATGGTACAGGGAGCGTTAAGCATGTCTCAGATTAATTCACATGCGTGTGTCATGCACGATGATGGGAATTAAGAGCCTATTATGTTGTTTCAACATATTGTTTTAGTAGTGTGTGTGCGTATGTACACACACACACAAAGTTGCATTAGCTCTTACAGAATTTTGGTTTAAGTTATTACTAAAGCCAAATAAGGTTTAAGCAGTGCTTAAACAAGTTTGGTTTATAATATGATTTTTCCACCTCCTTGCTGCAGTTCTATATTGTCTTCCTGACTGCTCTTCATACAATATTGTATGATGATGCATATCCCCCATTCCATTGAGGAAAGACACTGCTATACTAAGTCCTGAGCTGCACAGCTATGTGAATGTCCTCCAAACAAAGTAGATTAAAAAGGCCAAATTAATTGTACCTTTGACCTGCAGCAGGTTTGAACACAGTCTTAGAGGTGAAAGGTTAATGCCTCAAAGTACTGTTCCTAATACACAAGGAGGGGTAAAAAGATATTCTACCATTGAAAATACAAAGAAGAGTATTTAATGTAAAAATTATTGTAAGAATGGAATTTGCTTCTTTTCCCTATGGAAAGGGACTAGTAATGCTGTGGTGCTTTGAGGCTGATTTCTTGAGGTTAGTGCATCTCTTGTTTATCGTGGTACTGTGCAAGATTTTTCAGTGCCAGGAGAAGTCTCTTTCCTGTGAGAAATAGTGAGATCAGCCTGGCAATAGTACACTGATAAAAATTAATTTAAAAAAACCCCAAAACCAAACCACTTTTCCACACCAACTCATGTGCTTCTACAGTAGGCAACATCAGAAAGTGGTAAAACAATCTGTGAAACCCTGAGAGGAAGCAAGACAGATTACAGCCATTAAAGTGGTGGATTTCCATTTTGGTTTGCTTCTCAAGCAAGAAGTGGAAATTCTGTTTCAAACTTCGATGGTTGAGTTGGCCTGTCAGATTTCTTCCCTGTGCTGATAATGTAGTCTCTGAAGTTAAAACACTAATAAAATGAATGAGGCTTTTCCATGTCTTGTTTGAGTTACTGTTTTCTCTAGATGCAGACTAAGGCAAGCGTTCGCATTGGTAAGGACAGTGTTGTGCCAGAAAGATGGAAAAACTTGATTTCTAATGAGCGTGTGTCACACCTGAGACTGCAACCATTAATATTTGGGGAAGAGTAAGGAAAGAACAAAAGACAGAGGTTTCGGTAAATGCTGTAGGTAACAGGAGAAAAATTTTAAAGTAAAAATACTAAATATGAAAAGAGACTCCAAGCAAACAGTTCAAGTATTACTTGTTTAATATTACTCTTAAAGCATTCAGTGATCTGGTTTTGCCCTGTGATCACACTGTGTATAGTTACATCTTTTTTGGTTATGATTTTAGGAGACAAATACCACTATTCTATTCCGTTCATTTGAACTGTGCAGCTGAAACCTTCTGCTTCTCCCATTCCTCCATCTCTCTCCCTGAATCCACTTGCAAATGTCCTAATTTCTAATAGCTATAGGAATTCAGTGTTCAGACCAGCCTTCATGTCTTGGATAATAAAGAACAAGCATTCTCTCTTCTGCTTTAGGGTTTTCCAGGTGACTTTGGAAATAGAGGCCCCCCTGGCCCAGATGGGAATCCTGTAAGTATTGAATTGTGTGTTCATTAACATGGTGAAATTTGTAACACTCAGTATTGACTCCGCTCCCAAATGGAAAGGAGAATTTCACAGAAAAATTTTGGACTGTTACTTTTCCATGGAAATTTCTAGGATAGTACTGTAATAAGCAGTGGTATAAAAAAAAAAAAAGAGGAAAGAACAGGAAAGCTGCTGCAAGAACAGAGTTTCCACTGCTGCATGTGCTGACTACCTTGAGAATCAGATGTCTTGCTGTCCTCATTGCATTACTGATGAATGTTTTGTCTTCAAAAATTCTTGCATTGGATATGACTTTGCGTGGTTTATTTTAAACCATTATTCTAAGATCACCTTAACAAAATGGGATTCTGCATGTGTGCCAAAGCCTTAACTTTCATATGCTTATGCATTTGATAGTTGATTTCATCCTTTGAACTGCTACTGAATACAATTTTGCTAGTATGTCATTTAGTGCATTATAATCAGTATGATAACAGCTTTGTCCTTGGCAGCATATGCAGGCTAAAGTGCTCTCGTGGTATGGTATTCAAACTGTGACGCAGTTGTGTCACTTCACTGGCTGCCCTCAAAGGAGCTTTACTGTCTTGCAGTATTTGTAGGGGAACTCTGGCTGCAGACCCCAAACTCAGATTTCCTTTGATATGAGAAACCAGTGAAAGGGCTTTGGGCCAGACAAATGAACAGCAATAAGTGAAGAGCAGCTGATTTGAATCTGCTTTTATTGGTGGATGCTTCTTTGGAAACTGCTATCAGTTTGTGTCAAAAGGTTTGTCTGATATGGACCAGAGTCAGCAACGGGGCAGAGATGGTCTCCTTTTTGAAGGCCTGCCCTTTCCTAACACCCATCTTAAAATTATTTTAGAAAATCTTACATGAATTGTTCTGGCGGGTTATTGATGTTTGCTGTCAACATTTTGGAACGTGGGGAAAAAATTATTTTGCATTTCTGGTCCCTGAGGCAAAGTTCCTCTTGTGGGAATGCTGGGTGATGTCAGTATGGTGCTTTTCATCTTGAAAGCCCTCTGAGGGGTTGTGTCACCAGCTGCTTTGCAAATGATATAAAAAGGTGAGTTCTTCCTTCCCCTCCTGGTACTCTCAAGTCTCTCTCCTTTCTTGATAAAGCAGATACGCTCTTTCCACAAGATCTGCAGAACAAGAGTACTTCAGTAGCAACAAGCTCAGAAAGCCTGGATCTGAAATTACAGACTTGCACTTTACAAAGAAGCCTGTTTTAACACAAGCATTTGCAAACAAGTTTCTTCTAATCTGCTAAGACAGCTGCTGATCTTACTGCCTTCTCAGACAGGCAGCAACCTCTCTCCCCTCCTCCCCAAAAATAGCCCTGCAGGGCTTGTTCAGGCAAGGGGCCAGGGCTGCAGCTGCAGGGGGCTGCAATGCTAATGGGATATTTACAGAGTCTGTTTGTGAGCTGGCAGTGGAGAGCAGGGGCTGCCTGGGGGGCCTGTGGTGGCAGGAACACGAAAGGAAGATATTTCTTCCCATGTGCTGACTTGACGCTAATGACATTTGTCTCCATGCCTAATTTCTTCTGCTTAACAGACTAATGCCATCCTTCATTTCCACAACACCCTCTCAATTCTCTGAGGATGTCATGCCTTGGAGGACGTTGCTAGAACATTCAGCTTCCCCTGTAGTTAGTTTGGAGCAGGTTGGAGAAGGTGCCTAGGCACCTGAGGAGGTAGGAGAGCACAAAGGTGTCCTCAGCCATGCCCAGCAGCCATGCACTGTTGGACAACTTCAGAATGGGCTCAGATTTGCTTGCATAAAAGTTCCCCTTTGTAGGCTGATGGGCTGTAGTGAACCCTATGTATGGTTTCCATTGAGTAGCAGATCTTAGGTGTTGGGACAGCCTGCGTGAAGCGTGCTGGCCTGAGGACTACAATACCCCTTTCACACAGGGCAAAGAGACTTGGCATCTGTTTTCCATTGTCAGAATTTTAGTCTCCACTTAGTTAAACTTGAGTGCAACAGAGGCAGTAGTAGAGTGCCATTGAATTTTTCATAGAGAGAGTGTATTGTAGCCTTTCATTTGCAAAGGTCTTTCTACGAACTGAGCTGGTGTTCTATTTATCTTTCAAAGGACTCTTCATAATTTCTCATGGTGGGTTTTTTCTCCCTCAAAAAATATTTTTTTTTTTCTTCTCCCCACTTTAAATATCATGGTAACAAATCTCATATTCTTTGATAATGCAGGAATGATTTCATGATGATTTTAAGCAGCATGTTCTCTATACAGTGATAAGCTGTCATTCTTCAGGATCTCTCTATAAAAATCTCAATTGACTTGCTTGGCAGATCACTTTTGTTTATCACTAGGTATATTTTAAAATGGTAAAATTCAGATAATCTAAAATACATTTTCTTTGAAGGGAATTGTTGGCGGTGTTGGTCCTCCTGGATTTCCAGGACTAAGAGTGAGTACGTTTTTACTACTTACTTTGATATGGCTTCATTAGAAAATTTGTCTTGTATGTTTGTGAAATAGTAAAAACAAATACAAGAATCCAGATTTTGTTTTTGTTACCCATGATTAATTAAAATCACTCTACAAATCAGCTGTCATATTGCTAGTATGGAGTATGTCTATGCTTGGTTTGGATTTGTATGCTTATTTCTGATCTGCTATGTCTGTGGTTTTTATTTGAAATAAGCAAGTTTGCTAGCTTATACCCATAAAGCCAATGTTACTTTTTGAAAAAGTGCAATACTTTCAAACATTTTAACATCCACAGCTGTCATTCATTCTTGTATAGGCTACCAAATTCTAAGCAGAATTAATTCCTAAGCAAAATTACTTTATCTTGTATAAAGTAACATATTCCAAAATGGTTTATGTTTTTAGAATAAGGTTGATTCTCATTATGGAGTTATGAGCTGTAGTTGTATAAATACAGTTGTGCCAGAGAAACTCTGTGACATGAATGAGTCCCACATGAGGTGGACTCACAGTAAGACTACACATTCATACCATGTAGTATTCCTCCCTTATTTAAAATAATTCATGTGTTAACTGATAGAGGACCTGGATTTGATTCTTGATGTTGGCTCAATCAAGGCTGCCTTCTCAGCCATGTTCATAGTTCCTAATGTGGGAGAAAATAGCATATTTACACTTGAATTAAGCCATGATTGTCTCCAGTGGGGGGGGAGGGGGAGTGGTAGATATCTCGAGATCTGAATCATTCTTGATATGTTTTTTAGTTTACACTGATGGTCATATAACTTTTCCTTTGAAGTATGACAGTTGAGTTCCATTATTATTATCTTTGTAGTATGTTCATAACAAAAAAATATTCCTGTAAGAAGTCCCTTGCTGCTTGAATGAGATTGTTATGGCATTCCTATAGTGAAGACACAGAAGTTTGGTCAAGGAACCCCTGTGGCTTCCAGCCTTCGTCATGCAAACATGAGTCATTGTGTTCTTGTCAGTTGACATATTTGACCCAATTGAACCACTCATGAGACTAGAGGTTGCACTCTTGAGAATTTGGTTTGAATTACAGTTTGCTTTTCTTTCTTACATGACCATATTTGGAATTTTGTCTCAAGAACCTTCATAATTTTACAAGTCTCTGAGGTTTTTAAAAACTGCTATATATCACTTCTAAAAAGATACCGTTACTGATTATTTTGACTAAAACTTAGTCAGCAGTTTAGCCCTTCCTAGAATTCATAAGCATAAATGTTTATATGGTCAAAGCTCTGTCACTTATACAGAGAGATTGTCAATAATATTTTGTGAAATATAGAAATTATTTTCAATCACCAGTCTAAAGCATTTGCCACTTGTACATAGTCAAAATATATAATCATAATGAGAACTAATTAAAAAAAAAACCAAACAAAAAAAAGATGGCACGTTTAGATTTTGGCCAGCACAGGATCAGTAGTTCAGTAGTTGTTTTGCCTGTGAACTCCATTTGAGTGGCCTGCCATCTCTTCTTTATATGTGGGACACTCTTGCACAGTTCCAGCTGTGTGAAAGTATTGATTATGTGCCCATGTACTCTACATAATTTATATTCAAAGTAAAGACAAGAAAGCAAAGCATAGAAACTGACATTTCTTCATTATGTACAATTACTAAGCTAATTCTTCCTGTGTATGGTTTTTATTTTTGCAATGTGGCAATTTGGAACAGGACTTTTACAGGGAGTGCAGTGATATTAACATCTTTTGTTGGAATTGGAGTTTGACCCCCAGAACTGCTGGGTGGGTGCTGCTGCACCTCCATTTGACTGCAAGGAATTAGAGGTCTTTTATGGAGCAGAGAAGTCCTTTGATCCCTACACTTGTGTGTTTGTAGCTGAGGTATGTGTATTTATGCCAAAACCCCAACATTTTTGGAGGCAGAAATAATTTTGCAAATGAGTTTGTGGTCTTAATAGAGCTTAGGGCTTGTATGATAAATGCGTGAACAAAAATATGTATGGACAAGTGCTTATGATGTGGAAATGTGGGTCCATAAAGGTAGGGTCATTGTGCATCCTTCTGACAGCTTAATAAATCTTAAGGATATATTAGGGTGTTTTTAGAGATGTCATCTTTTCTTTAGCCAAGACATATTTAAAATGCAGCTCAGGGGCAGTTAACTGTCCGTGGTTGATAAGACCTTACTGGTACAGTAAGATTTTGCAGTTGAGGAAAATGGCCCAGCGGCATTTCCTTCAGATTTCTGAACAGACTTTTGAAGCTTCGAAAGCATCAGCAAATCTAGTTGGGATTTCGAAATAGGATCAGAACAAGGCTAAATAGGACTTGCAGTATCTAATGGCATGAGTCTTTTGTGGATACTAACACAGTGTATAGGCATCATCAGTAAAACTTACTATTATGCACTCTTCTGTGTTTCTACATTACATCATATTAGTTACTGTGGTTCCTGCTTTCCCAGCCAGTAAGACAAATTTCTTTACAAGGGACCATTGCGCTCTTTAAACTGTAGCAGAACTTCACCAAGACCCCAGGGAAATTTCCAGCGGTCCCAGCATCCCCAAGTACAGCTTGTGTGGTGCAGCCCTGTTCCTCGACCACACATGTTCTCCAAATGGGTTTGCGCACCCTGGCCTATGTTTTCACATGGCCCTTATTCAGGCAGATGCTAGTGGTCATCCAAAACTGAGTAAAGAACTAGAGACCTCAATGTTTGTTTTAAAAGACTTAGTCAATTATAACATATTATACTATTACTATTATTGGAATTTTGAACATGAGATTAAATTTATTATTCTGGCAGAAACCAACAGAATTAATTCAAGTAGCTTGTCCAGCCCAGCTGTATGCAGTGTCAAGAGCTAATTATATTTTTGTGTTCGGTCATGAGAACAACGGCAAAGTGAGCAGCATTAGCAAGCTGAGTCCAAGAATTCCTTCCTTCTGTGATTTTTTTTTTCCAATATACAAAGCTGTTGCCAAGTTCAGAGTTTTGCCTGGCTGAGCAATCAGTCTCCCAAGATTTGCAAGGCCATGAGTTTTAATAAGATGAAGACTTCCAGAAAGTTTACAACTACAGTTATCAGAGCTAGCTTTTCTTTTTAATTTTTATTCTTAAAAAAAAAAACCAACCTAAAACTAGGTTTAGTTTTCCTTTTCTGGTATCTTATTTTTTTGACAGGTAAAAGCAATTTGGTTTTAGTTTCACTTGTCACATAGAAGTGGCGGAAAAGGTACACTTTATGTAGCTGAAGTAATTTTTGTCTTCTATCTATCAGCAAGTTTTAACCAAACTGATAAGCATGTGGTAACATATAGCAAGACTGTTGTAGGTGGAGGACAATTTAAAAAACTGACAGACTTACTAATTCAACCTTTTTCTTATTAGTGAGATAATTTTTCAGTTTTATATTTGTGTAGTTCCATTTCTTTGCTGTTAATTAGGTCAGCCACTGTCTCTGGGGACTATGACAGGAGTTTCATCAACCTGAATTTTGTAAAGCTGTTTTGGAACTTCTTCCCATTGCTTTTGTAAGCCAGAGTTCCCAGCTCAGTATCCCTCTGATTTTTCAATCAATCCTATTGTTATCATAAGTATGCATTTTGATGTACAGTATGATTAATACAGAAATGCCTTGCTGAAGTAGAATATATAGCGCAACTAAGAGCAGTATAAACAATTTATCTTGGCATCAGCTAACATGACAGAATATATCATTTAAGCAGTCATAAAAGCTAAAGCAATGTAGAGTCGCAATTTTCCTGGGAGCTTTACCAAGCACCATTGAGATGCTAACTCATCAGTCTTCCTTTTTCTTCAGTGAGCCATGAGTTTGATGATGGCTGCAGAAGAATGTTTCTGCTAGCATTGCTGAAAGAGGGTCCAGACAATAATGAATGTGTGGTGAACTGGAAATCTATAGGTGTCCATCTCATCTTTTTCCATGTCACTCTCAGCAAGTGGCAAAAGATTTCTGTATTTGTACTTGTTGCTCAATTTTTGCATAGCCACAGAGGTATAACAGTGCCGCCTTTTTTTTTTTTCCAGAGGTAGAATATATAGAGAGTAGATAGACTTTTCCTCTATTTTAGCTATTCCTAAATAATTTCTTATGCTTAGCTCACTATCTTTCATTAATATTATTGCTGTTGATGTGTTGATCTTTTAAGACTTAATTTTTTGAATTTCTGGTTCATTTTTTCAAGTCAGAAAACTGTCCATATAAATCCCAGAAAGGAGAGATGTAGTAAGGGCTTCGAAGGTACATGGGAACAGAAAAACTTAGCATGCCCGTCAGAGCTTAAGTTAAGTTTGCACACTTGGTATTTTGAAAGAATCTCCTCTCTTTTTTTATTTATTTTATTTTAATTTATAGTAGTCACTGAGAGATGAGAAATCCTAGAAAAACTCACTTTTTATGACACTACTCACAGTAGAATAATTCCTTTAAGCTAAATTTGATGCTTAGAGTGGTGATGTCATGTAACCCTAAGGACAGAGGGAATAACCACTGAGTGCACAGCTGTGGTACAGAGGAAAGCACCCTTATTCTGCATTGCCTAATAACACTGCTATCTTCTTTTGAATACATAATCTACAGGAAAAGAAGGAAGTTTGGTTTCCTGTGTTTCTGCTGACGTGGGAACTGTAAAGCTGGATGATTTATAATATGGATACTCTTTTTCCCCAAGAAATTAGCCTGGAAAAGATTTTGTTTTCTCTCTGTGGTGCAGAAAATGCCACATTCTGTTACCAGTCTTTAAGTTACTCCATTTCATCAAATGTTTATTGCAGTCACCTTTTTTGCTGTCTCACAGGGAGGCATTGGGCCAGCAGGACCAAACGGACCATCAGGGATCCCAGGGCCCATGGTATGGTGCTAAACAATCCCACAGCCCCATACCTATGCTGTTTTCCAAATTATAGACAAACATTGGACTTTTGTTTTCTTCATTTTAATAGGGTCTCCCAGGGAGTGTGGGACAGCCTGGAATGAAAGGTGATAAGGTGATTTAAATATTTCCATTATCTTATAAATATATATATATATTTCTTTCAGACTCCATCTTGAGCAAAATAATGTATTTCACAAAACCTTCCCTTGTTCCTTTTGATTTCTTTTCTCTTCTGGCTTTTATTTTTGAAAATGCTTCAGTCTTACAGTCTGGTACTTTAGACAAACTTAGTTCTGGACAGAGCACTTATTACTGGGCATATATCCAGTGCTGTGTCTATAGGGTTTCCTGGAGGGGGTGCTTCAGTGCAACATCATGCATTGCCATTCAAAGATCTGTGTTAATTTTAAATACTAAATATTGATCTTTCTCATTCTCTAATTCTGATAACTACCCCATTTTAAGCCACATACATATGTCTGTATAAAATATGTTGTTTAGGGTGAACATGGCCTTGCAGGAGAGCCAGGAGACCAGGGGTACCCAGGAGACAAGGTAATTTATAATTGCATTGTAACATTGTCCAATTTCAGCAACTTCAGCAGGCTGAAGTTGCATACAGTCAGTTGCATAAAAGTAGAATGTAGTAGTAAAAGTTACTGGATACCACGGAATTAACATATTTTTAAGAAATGCTATGCTAATTAAAACTTAGTTACGGAAAGTAGTGAAAAAAGACAAATAAAGGGCATGGGCAGAATTCTGGCTGCCATGTGTTGTTCAGGGATGCATCAACCAAGATAAGAATTAAGGATATGATATGAAACCTGCTAAGAAACTCTCATAAAAGATATTTTCCCCTTGAACTTTGAGGTTCATCTGCAGCTCACCTGCTAACTGTGGTTAGCAGCAGCACATGGTCTGGCATGCTCTTTCATATTGTGAAACTGAGATAAATAAGTATCTTCTTTCCTATCTGGCTAGTACATCAGAAGTCACTGAAATAGCATGTCCTGTGAGAACTCTTTTTATGGGATTTACATGTTAGAAGACATTTCTTATCCCACAGAATTATTTCGAAGCCTGTTTCAGGTGACAAAGTGTAGCAATCTATTGCTTCCAACATAACAATACATTTTCATGTATATTTAATAGCTTTCTTTTTCCAGGGTGCTCTTGGTTTACCAGGACCCCCAGGGATCAGAGGAAAGCCAGGACCCCCGGTAAGTTTACACATCGATTTTTGCTCTCAGTATATGACTATATGTTGTTATATTTGATACTACTTTGTATCTTATGTTCACACTGCATGGAATCTTCTAGAAGCTACCTAATTAAAAATGCAGAAAGAATAGGGTCTAAGCTGCTTTTATTTCTCGTGACTGTAAGTCAGATCCGAATGTGTGAGATTTTATTACAGACATCAGTATGTGTGTCAGATTTTAATGCAGGAGTGCTTAGCATATTAGGTATTCTGTGACAGTAACTTTGTGGGGGACTAGACATTTTGGTAATGTTGGAAACAAATCCTCCGAGAGCTTTGGGAGCTGCATTTTCATTTAAAGATAAGCATGTGAATTGGCCCATTCCTGAAGAGTTGTGGAATTTAAGCACAACCTGAATGTGACCAACTTCTTTATTTATGTTAGATTAAGATATGAGACCTCAGTCCTGCAAGTAATATAATGTTTAATTTTGTAGAATACATTTACAATAAAATAATTTACATTAATTTTTTTTGAAAATATTTTCCAGGTCAGGCTTTAATTTTCTTCAAATAAGACCTAGTTATGGCATAAAAATGCTAACTGTTTGGATTTTTTTTAAGGGGAAAATTGGAGATCCTGGATCCTGTGGACCATTGGGTCCTCCAGGACCTGAGGTAAGAAATTGCTTGATAGAGGTAAATTGAATGTCATATAGTTCGAAGTTACAAAAATCAGAGGTAAATGGGTTTGCTTCACAAAAGATTGTTGTCTTAGTTGAATTAGAAAATACTTTTTATTCAGTCATATGCAATGAATTAATTCTCCTCCATAAAGTACAAAAGATTCTAGCTCATAATTTTTTAATGCAAAATACTAATTTACTGGATCTTTGAATACAAGTAGTTCCTCATTTGCCTACGTGACTAGGATTTGCTCTCTTGAATCCAGGTGTTATGGATTACACCTTGTATGAGACTCATGTGATTTCTCAGGCATGCTTCCATTCATTTATTCTATAGCATGTTTACCAATGGGATTTTCCAAGCCTTGTTGCGTATTTATTTATCTCTTACAAAATAACTTTATTTGCAAGGAATGCAAAGAATAAACACAAGTTAGGTAGGAAGCATTGTCAGGCACTTGAATCCAGCAGTGCAGTTGCCCAAGAACTGTATAGTACTATGGAATTCTACACAGAAACGAAGAGTCTGAATTGTTCTATTTTGGTGCTTCTTGGCATTTATACCATGGGCTATAGGAAAAAATGCTGTGGACTGTATGGGAAAGACATATGCATACACAGACACATACATATTTGCTGGGGAGATGAAAGCAAAAAATGCAGATTTTTCTTTTTGATCAGCCTCCTCCAGTGGATGCATTTTTAAAATTTTATTTTTTTAAAAATATGTCTGGAAGATATATTAGCAATGCTGGTTGTTCTGGCCTTAAAAGATACAATAACTCTCGGGCATATCTCCTCAAACCAAGGCTCTATATTCCTACCTTTTATAAGAGGGAGCCCAAGGCCTCTGATCCTCAAAGAACAAATTATTGGGGTTTATTACTTTGTTGCTATAGCTCCTCTAAATCCTAAAGAACATACTTTCTTCTTGGAGATGAGCCCTCATTGAGAGAAAACTCACTGGAAAATGTGTTGTATCAACACCAAATGGTCTTTTCAGAAAAAGTCAATATGTCTTAGTCAATGGGGAGAGTATTTTCTTACCCTTCAGTTAGAATGAAAATGGCACAAAGCCCATGCATGCTGCCCATAGCTGCAGCCTCCTGTGGCTCAGGATTTCAGATTTTGTGAGTCTCTTCACTGTTAGTGAAAGAGATCATTGCATCATCTCTTCTCTTTGTATAACTGCCAGCAAGGGAGACTTGTGGCAGGTTAATATCAAATTATTGGTCTGAAAGCCTGTGTTCTGGTGACCCTGACACCTATCCATGTAGTCCTTCGTAGTTTCTTATTCAAACCCAGGCATGCTGTCCCTTTTTGCCTGGGGATAAATTCATCATCTGGGGCTGGTACCCTCAGGGCAGATATGGATGGGAAAACTTCCTGTCTGAAAAGCTTAGTATTTCCTTTTGCTCAGGAGTGTAGAATTACTTCAGCCACTAGAAAGCAAATAGTGCTTTATGTTAGATAATGAAAGCTTGAGTGTCCGGGTATTTTATTTTTTTAATAATTGTCTGCAAAATGTCAGGTTTAAAACTGCAAAGCAATGTTTTTCTTAAATTCAGTCATGCAAGACAGATCCAAATAAAGCAAAACAAGTTTTGCTGCCTTTTACTTCATAAAACCATGGTCACCATATGGCAGAAGAGCAGAAATAGAAAGGAGTTAGGACCAGGATCTTGAACAAATTGGAAATTGGAGAAGTTCTATAATAAAAGGATTTTTTTAAAAAAAAAAAAAAAAAGCAGCTTAAAACTGAAGATTGTATCTTACTCTCCCTGTTACTTTGTCTTATCAAAATAAGCTAGTTGTTGTTGCCAGAAGCTATTTAGACACAACTGGATATATGACATACGAGCAAATAGTGCAGATTTTCCTATAAGAAAAGCCTACTGTCATATATCTAATCATGTCTCTTCTTCCAAAAACAGACAGCTAGCAGGTGAGGGCTGCTTTCCTTCTTCTTATTTCATTATCTGAATGGTCAAACTTGCCATGACCCCATGTAGAAAACAGACTTTACATCCTATACTACATGTTTCCCTTGATGTTTCTGGAAACAGCAGAATGTGATGAATTCATGTCTTACAAGGGGAGTACTTTGAATTTCGTATGGACACGACAATCCATACCATATGCCTTTTAGCAAATATTTCACTAAAAAAAAAGCTATGTTGGAATTTGTTAGGCATTGCTGTGAGCAGGAGGAACTGCCCAGTGGCAGAACCTGTCAGATCCTACTTCAAACTATGTCTCTCCCCTTTTGTCCAAAGCTAAGACAGTGGGGTTTATAAATGTGCCCTGTCCCAGTGGTCAAGCTTGTTTTGGGTAGATGTGAAATAAGAAATGGGATCCTTTGGTCTCTCCAATTAGACGTTTGAGTATGTATTTCATTTCCAGCATAACAGTCACATCCCTAATTTTCTTCCTGTGTAAACTGCTGTAAATCAGGCACTACAGCAGCTGAAGTCTCTAGTTGTGTCTGCACACAACAGTGGGAACAGGCCTGGCAGGCTTCATTCATCCCCCTGGGGTTTTGGCTTTTTATATGCAGGTCAGCAGTAAATTGCTTCCTAAATCTTTCCTCTGCAGCTGCACAGCCTAGGTACACCAGACCAGAGTTGAAATAAGCCACCCACTTGTAGCCCAGGTCTATTTGAGAACTGCAGTGGTGATGGGCAGAAGCGACTAGAGGGAGGAACAGAGGTCCCATGCTTGCTCTCTGGGTGGCCGTACGAGGGTTGGCTGCCAAGTGTACTTGTTTTGGTGCAGAAGTCCTGCAGTGTCAAGCCAAATTCTCTTCTGGGTATGTTGCTCTAGAGCCAGGGTCTGTTGTGTGCCTGAATGCGTGCTGCTCACAAAGCACTGGATATCTTTTAGTGAGTGCTTTATGAAGCATATTCGTCATCAGTTTAGGCATTTTCCTGCTTTCTAATGCATCTAAAAAAGAACAGCCAAAACTTCAACTTTCTAGAGAGTTTTATTCTATTGGTGTGACAGCTGGAAAGTGCTGGTCTGACTGTTTTAACCCACAATGCCTATGTTTACAGTGTACGATGAAGTATGTAATGCTTATTGTTAATGTGAATGAAATTAGACAAGGTTTTAGCAGGCTTCCACATGTATTCAGAGTATTTTATAGTTAAATTTTGATCTATGAATCACATTTAATTATCCCCCAAGAATGAGGGTGATTAGTTTTCTTCAGATGTGCCTTCAGATGTGCTCTGAGTATTATAAATAGGTTTCATCTGGAGCAGAGGGAGCATTAGTCATTATCTTCAATAGAACTTTTTTCATCTGTACAGTATTTTGATCTGAAGTTGTTAGCTTATTCTTTCAGGAAGGTACTCATATGGGATTCAGCTGCTATGTTTCATGCTCAAGGCAATAGCATTACAAAGGAAAAGGATACATTCGAATAATAGTAAACAGCCAAAAAGGCACGTATTTTGTAAGTGAATCACTGGCTGCTTTGAGTTGTTAATTTTAAAAAAAAAAAGTTTATTTTTAATGCAAGTTTTGTCTTATCACATTATGTTTTGAGGTTGTGCAAACAATGCCATGAATGCAGTGACAACATAGTCTTTTGTTTCAACATTGCATCAGATAACTTGCATGGAAATGACTTGAAGGAAATATGGAAATAAAGACAATTTTATTGCTGAACTAATTGCAAGTTTTGGCATACGTTTGAAGAACTGTTCTTGTTGTAGAATTGCTTATACTTTCTGCTTGCCTTTGTACAGAATATTTACCTGATCCTTTCATAAATTTCTTTGACACAAGTATATCTTTCTGATCCTTTTTCAAGAAATATGTATTAATTTTGCAGAAATATTCAATTTACCTTGACTTTTTAAATAATGTTGAAAATGCTTGTTCATGTGACCCTCCTGTGTGTTATATTTTCTTCAGAGTAATTATAGTTCAGTCTGTGCCTGTTGGGTCCCAGTCTGTTTGCACAGACCTTCATAGGTACTTTGCATAGAACTTGTCTCGGAGATCCGCCTTTTTCAGGCAGAGCTGTGGTGAGACTTCACTAGAAAAGGAGGGACATGCAGACAAACAGAACTTGATTTGTGTTGCTTTACCAGGGTATTTAACTCCCAACATTCTGAATCTGCCTAGAGTAAGGTGAGCTGATATTTAAATGTTTTTTTATTTGATTTTAAACACCTGCACTGCTTTGGGTTTTGGTGTTGATCTTAGAAGAAACAGTAGTCTTGCAAATAAACTTGAAATTTCTGCCTTTTTCGGTCTGGCTGAAGTCTATATGTGGTCTGATCTGCATAGGCACACAGCTGTTAGCAATATAGAAGCAATGTACAGGGAAATAATCCTCCTGTAAGAGAACAGAGTTCCTCTTGCACCAGGATTATTTCATTGACTGTAGTTACTATTCTCTTTTCTAAGGTTTAAAGTTAAGAATATTTGATTTTCAAAATGCACAGAGTTGTTCCTGATGACTTTCCTCTGTACTCAGGCTTTGCCTAAACCCACTGTAACTTATATCATTAGAAGCATGCCTGAAAGAAGATGCATTCCTCAAACCTTAGTCATTTAACTGTTATTGGAGGATTTGTAACACAAAAATGAGCTTGAATATTTTAAAATATGAATATTTTAAAATAAATACATAATCTGGTATTTCTGCCCCTTATGAAATGCCCACATTTGATGCTTGACCTTCTTGGCCATCAAGCAGCCAAGCAGGTCTGTTAAGGATGTGTTTTGAAGGGTTGGTATAGGGCCTTGCTCATGCTATAAAGTAGACTACACTAGATACTATCTGTAAATACAATGATTCTAATGTGTGTTGCATATAATATGTAGGTGTACAAGATGGCCTTAAAGGATGATGCACATTTGGAAAACTGGTGACTTTAAGTGTCTCACAAGGAAATCAATCACTAGTGTTTCAGTGGGCATGGCTGAACAAATCTGCCATGTGCAAGTAGACAAAAGTACAAAGCAACATCAGCATCATTTTACTGACATCTTAGCAACAGTAAATTGCAAAGCTTTCCTGTATCGTATGTTGTAATCCATGATTGCCCTTTTTTCTGTTCTCTGACAAATTGCAATTGTACAGTTGTAATTTGTACTGTTAGATTCCTTCCTCCACCCTTTCCAAAATCAGAATTGAAGGTTTGTAGGAAGAAATTAAAGTTTTGTCTCTGCCCTTTAAAAATGCTGGCATTATACTTTGGCTAGATTGGCACACACAGAAGGAAGCTCATTGCAAATCTTTTTTTTTCCTTACTATTTTCTTCTTTGTACTTGGCACATTATTGACACTGTCATGCAATTGTACAAATAGCAAAGAGCAAAGTCCTGTAGCTGTATGAATACTGACATTTCTAAAAATGTGTAGAGAAAAAATAGGGATTTTCAAATTGAATTGTGTCTCTGCATAGTGTGTCCTTTCAGAAGAATAATAAACACTTCTTATTTGAGAATGCAAAATCACAGCTCATTTTCTCTGTTTAGAGAGATTGTTTTATGCAGAAATCTTGCTTGTAATTTGATAATAATTAGTAATAAAGCTCTAATAAGGTATCTTGTTGAAGTTCAGTGGCTGCATCCAGTCACTGTTGCTTCTCAAAATTCTGACTTCTCATTCAAATGAAACACAGCATGTGATTGAATGAAATATTGGAGCAGGGAAACTTGGCAACCGAAAGGACTATCACAGTCCCTGGAGAGGTTTTTGCTCTGTGGTGCTCTTCCAGCAGCACTCGTGTCCCAATCCTGTTGAAGGCTGCTGAGGAGCTAGAAGGCATGAGGGTCGGTGACTAATAGCAATGCTGGCAAATGTCATGTGGAAACAGCTTGGAGTGAGTGGGATTCTGCAAATGTAAAGGAATTCCTAGTGGAAATGGAGTGTGATTTCCAAACATTTCTGATATTCTGCTTCCATGTTAGCAGCCATACAGGAAAACAAACAAAAGAAAAGTAACAGCTTTTGCAGATCCCTCATCTCTAAGGCACTGACTTCAATACAGAAGGACATGCTCTGGCATAGTTACAGTCTGATCATCTCTACATTTTTTGTTAAAGATTATATAGATAAATGAGAGCAATAAATATGTTAATTTTATATTTAAATGTATTCAGTACAAAACCCAACATTTTCGCAGCACGCTTAAAGTGCATTTGTGTTGGGATAGCTGGTACTTCAGATTTTTTCGACGCCACCTCTAGTTTGATTAAACTGAGTGAACTCTAAAGTGCTTTGCTGGCAAAAGGCCACATCTGCGGCAAAATTTGAAAATAATTTGTAACCTACCAGCTTGCCAGGCTTCTGGCTGATTGGATCAAAATCTACACTTTGCATTTCCTTAGTAGAAGTAATAATATTGAGTGATGTTTTGGTCCGAATAGTCTCTGCTGAAAAATATGTAGCAGCTAGAAACTATACAGGGATCTCCTGGCCTTTCAATTATGGAAGAATAGTGAATTTTAGTCTGGAGTAGCTTCACAGAGAGCTGACTGCTGAATAACTCTTGGCAAATTTAGATATAGGTAGAAATGTATACCACTTCACTACTCAGAATCTGAATGGCAAACACTATTGCTGAGGTGTTTTAAAAACTCCTTTCTGGTTCATTCATTTTCTTGATTGTTTTAAGTGGCTGTCTGCGTCCTGGACTATTACAGTTACTTCATGGATTATCCATGTGAGAACATCTTGGAAACTGTTTTAATACTGCCGTACTGCCATAGCATCTGCATTTTCTCTGTGGTAGCGCTTGAAGAAAAGACTAAATCGAGCTTTACAGCAGAGACAAAAATGATGAAGATTTTAAACTTTTAAATGCATTGCTACTGTTGATGCTCTCAGGCCAGTAGCCCTCTTGCATCCTAAGACGTCTGACATGGAAAGGTTTCCAAATGTCATGATTGTTCTAACTGTGATAGTGCTTGTCAATGCTTACATCTCATAGTTCTTACTGAATTCCTTCTAGAAGTATTTATGCAAATAAAGTAGACATATTCCCTTATAAAAGTATAAGAATCTTTCTAGAGAGACATTTTTCTTGACAGATTGTTTTCTGGAATATTTATTGCCATGATGAAAATTGTCTCTGTGTCAGCATTTAACACTTGTTCACACATTAGAAAGTTAAAGATTTACGGATGTACAAAACAGCTTATCCATTGGTAACTACTTAATGTCTGTAAATAAGCAAATCTAAAACTAAGAAAGGATGAGTTAGCAACTTCCAAATAATTGACCTAACTCTTCAGTATGTTTCAGTACATAAGTGTGGTCAGGATTTTGAAAAAATCCTCTTATGAACTAGGTAGAAATCTAGGCTAATGTAAGTGAGCACTTTAGGTATCAGTCAGGGTGCCTTGGTCACGTGTGACTAATATGCTGTGTGCCACCTAGAGGCATATTGGAGTTGTTGCACAGCTCTACTGGTAGTTACTGCTTTGTGGCAAAAAATTACCAGTGATGTTAGGTGAAATGCTTCCATTTATTCTCAAAACTCAGGTCAGTTCTTTTTCGCTCTTTGGAGGTTTGCTTTACTACTCATTAGCATTCAAGTGCTAAAACTGATTTTTTTTAAAAGAAATCATAATTTGGTTTCATATTTTGTTTTATATATTTTTTTCTATTTAATATATAAACACACCTAAAAATATTTGCATCCCATCTAAATCTCTACATATAAGTGTCTCTGCATCCTGTTAAGAACAGGTTATAGAAAGAAAACAGAAAAAAAGCCCCTACAATTGAGAGCAGTGATTCCCTAAATACTTTTAAAATTTTATTACAGTGTGGTAGTTCAGTATGAAATCATATTTTCTTTTAAACTTCTTGCTTTAGTAAGATTTCTCTTTACCTTTCTGGTAAGGTTTTTTGTGATTAATGTCAGCTAATTATGAATAATGGTTATTACCTGTATTTGAAGCTCAGCTGTTCTGGAAGAACAGAGTATGGTTAACTACTATCCACCTAGTGAGCAATTATTTTTTTTAATACCTCTTTCCTGCTTAGAGAACCTAAAAAGTGGCTCTTGAAGCTTTGATGATGGCATGTATTAGCCTGCATTAGTATGAAAGGGTGCCAGAGAGAATTTCATGCTGGAAACTCGTTATGAGATGTTCTTTAAATTGTTCTGAACGTATACGGTGCTTTCATTTCCATTATTGGAAAAGTATGCATGCAAAGATTTTTAATCTGCAATGATTTTCTGTTAAGGAAGAAGGAAACTTGTTTTTATTAGTGTTAGGTGATGTATGTGCACAGATGTAGTAATAAATACTTTACTTGGAGGAAGAACTTTTCAGCGGCAGTCTATTTTCAGATAGGCAAGATTTAATGAAATTTAAAAGTTTATAAAATTAACAAAATCAAATACTATCTTGGCAGGTGACTGAATGAGCCCTGTGCTAACTACAGAGTGAATTACTAATGCTTTATTTTATCCTACAAATATAAAGATCAAGTTTCTTCACTGGATGTTTATGAAATTTAACTCAGTACTGTATTGCATAAGAGTTAGCCGCATCATTTTTGTTTCCTTAAAATACACTCATTCCTTATGAAGCAATCTAGCTGTAGCACTGGATTCCACTGGCGTAGAGGTGTCCTCCTGGTGTCCTACTCAGTGCCTATGGGCCAGATGGTTTGGGCTGATAATTTTAGTTGATTAATTTCCTTTGCGTATTCATTTTTTCTTTACCAGCAGCTGGACCTGTACCACACACTGTTTTGCAAAGGCTTGTTCTAAATAATGCTACGTGATGGTGACCTTGAGTTACTGCCAGCCAAACCTGGATTAGCACCTGCTGATTTAGAGGCGAAAGGCTTTCTACCCTTTTCTTAATCTTGTAGTGATCTCGTCCTTCAAGTGCGGCCAAGGATTCAAGGGCTTTAGCTGCTCTCTAAGCTTTTTTTTTAAAAAAAGTAGTTGAATTCATGAGTACAGGACCTTGTGCTGGCTGCTTTGTGGGGTTTTTCTGTGTATCAAGACCAATCCAATGGTTTAATCTCAAATGTTGCTTAGTGGATAAAAAGTCATATGCTAAGAGAAATGAAACCCATACTGACATCTGCTAAATTGAGTTAAATGAAAGCTGCCTAAAATCTGTCAGTTATCCAAGTCTTTTCAAGGAAACTTGATGGATTTTGACACTTTGGGGATGGTAGAACAAATTTATTTTTTCTTTCTGTGATTCAGGTTTGTTAAATGAGTGAACAGAATCAAAACAAGTACATTGGAAACATTCCTACTCTGTAAATCATTTGTCTGTATGATTTGTTTAGGGTTTTCCAGGAGATATTGGTATACCTGGATTAAATGGCCCTGAAGGTCCTAAGGTAAGACTATATGAAAACTTATTCGTAATAACAATAAACCATATAAATCTCTGAGGAGGAGCTCTAGAGATGGATACCAACATTATAAGACGATAATCTTACTGTCAAAATACAGGTACTTTCCCTCAGGTATATATAGGAGGAAGTTAATCTAATGTTTAATGCTGTCCATGCAGTTATAAAGGGTAATTACTGTTAGATGCAAGCATATAATGGCAAGTTAAGTGCAAGGAAATTTGGAGAAAATGCGGTGTAGCTAGGAAGTAGCATATATTTCACCTATATTTAAACAAAATGCATGCCAAAAGCACGCAGATCTCTCTAGTCTCACCTGAGTAATACGGATTTTTTTAATAAATTTTGAAAGAAATAGTAGCTAAAGATACGGAAAAATGGGTAAAATTCACATGCCAGATTAGATCATGGATAAAATAATGGATAAAATTTATCTACCAAAAAATGACTGTGCCAGATTAATTTAGCCTCTGTTGTTTAGTAGACTAATATTTTAGACCAAGCTTAGGCAATAATTCACACATATAGAGTTTTCAGTGAAGCTTTGGATAAAAGCACATATGGGAAAATTTGTTTAAAATTGAAAAGGTAGAGACTAGTACAAAAAGTGCAGGTGGGTCAGAAATTGACTCAGAGAATGATGGTATCTAAAGATTGACTACTTGTTGTTGAAAGGCAAGTACTAATTAAGTTCCTAACTCAGCTGCCTTGGGAGTATTTTTGCTGATAAATAGGCACAAGTATGGTGGAATGAAATTTGTGTATGAAACAGTTGAGCATCTTTAGATGATCTTAAAAACTGCACTTTGTACTAGTTCATTCCACTTTGGTACTTCAGACTGATGCATGCAAGGACTAAAACAATAAATCCTACTGCAAACTTAGAGCTTCGCACCTGGCAAGAAGGAAAGACACTGCCAGATCTCTCTGAAATAAAAACACAACAAGGCAGTTAGAAATTAAGTGAAATTCTAGAACACGTGAGGCAAGGTGTCTTGTTAATGCCACTGCACAAAGCACGAGAAGAGTTTATCTAAGTAGCGCACACAGTTCTGGGCATTTGCATGCCAGAAGGACTCAATCAAGTGGGACTATATGCAGAAAAGGATATTTGAATTATTGTATTCTGAGAGGCAGTTTGTTTATCCTACCAAAACGAAGAGCCTTTTTGAGCTTTCTGTGTAAACCAGAAGGCAGAAATTGGTGAGGCAAAAGAACTGTGCGTGACCAGCAATATCATTGGTCCAAGGACAAAATATGCTAGTTGGCCATGAATAAACAAAGGTGGAAATTACAAGATTTCTCATCAACAGAGTTGTGAAATTCTGTGGCAGACTACTCAAGAAAACAGGGAGCAGTAAATAGTTTGAAGAGAGAGTCTTATTTGTATCTGGAAGATTGTAACAATCCCTCCATGCCAAAGTTAATAATTCTTGAGAACATCTCAAATAATCCAGTTGCCAAAGCCATAACCATTTATTTCTGCATCTCATATCTTTCAACTGTGTCAAGAGCCTCGTCCCAAAATAGCTCAGACGTTAATTTATGAGGTAGGCTGAGAACTCATTATCTGATGTGGCAAATTGGGGTGAAGTTAAAATACATTTCTAGAGATAGGTGTGGACTTTTTCTTTAGTTCTGATTTACTGCTTTGCTAACTTGTTTATGTGTATGTATAATGTGAGCAGCCTTATATTGAATGACTTTTATCTGACCATTGCAGTGGCAGTTGCTCCTGTGTTTCTGAATTACAAGGGCACTTAAGAAAACCTGTTGATGCAAGACTGTGTCTTGAGTCTAGGGTAAATAAGAGAAAGACAACAGTTCTTGAACTGCAGATCAGATTTAATCCTCCAATCTGATCCATGAATGACGTAACTGAGATCTAATCCCTGCTGCTCAGTTTCCTCACTAAGTGAGATCATACTATTCCATGCTATATCCAAAGTGTTAAATTAGATGTTTTTATTAGACCTGGGTTGATGTTTAAGACATACATTACTGATCTATTGCCTTTTCACAGATTCCTGCAAAAAAATACTAAAAGGTAGCCTACAAAGTTTTAAGACTCTGTATTCCTTTGATACAGAAATTACATAACTGAACAAGATTCAATGGTGTTCAGCACATTTGGTCTTAGAGACAAAAAAACTCAGCCTGCTCTCATCAGGGAGAATTGATGGCTTGCATTCGAGAAGGAATATTACCAACTGGAAAAATTCTTACACTGCTCAGTACCAAGGGAGAAAGGCTACATAACACTGGAAATGTTTGGATTTCAGGATTCCTAGCTGTCTTGGTTTGACTGCAGTTTTAAAAAATTTCCTCCAGCTTTTATTTTTAGAAAACTGTTCTCACTGTGGTGCTCTTTTCCTCATGTTTTTGTTTATGCTTCCTCAGAAGCAATACCTATTTTAAAAGCCAAGAAAACAGGGTAAGCTTTATTTTTTAGCAGTGGCATGGAGAAATTCAGCCTCTTTGTGGAAGGTTTAAGCTCTGTGTGATCAGCCATCTCTAAATAGCAGTAGAAGTTCTGGATTGTCAATTTTCCCTAAATTAGTGCAGTAATCAGCAAATCTGATCTCTCTAAAATAATGTTCAAAGGATTCATTGCGTAATTTGGTCTACAGCATGTTACTCAGCTTGGAAACAATATTTTAGAAGGTGTTTGATCTTGATCCACCACTTTTTTTTTTTTAAAGCACACAAAAAAGGAATAAGAATGATTCAAGAAGTTCTGAAATAATTTAGTTTGTTTCCTATGTTGTTCTTGCAAGTATTTATGCTCTGTAACCAAGAAAAGTGAGAGGACAAGGTGGTCGGAATATGCTGACTACAACTGTAGTTTTTCCAGCAGTGTGCGTTGTACCACGGAAGTAGTTGAGAACTTCCTTCCTCTGCTCATTTATGTTTGTTTGGATAACACATTTAATAGAAGTGGCTATTAGGAGTTTCACCACTTCTGGAAGGGATGTTCAACTGGGAAGTTAAATATGTGAAATACAGGATACCCCCATTTGTTGACTCCTCCAGTTTTTTCCAGACACTTTGGCACATGTCTAATGACTACCTCTATTTTCTGTTTGTTGCCTGAAACCTCAAAGGGGAGATGGAAATTTCATTTAGTCTTAATATTCATTTTACAGTCTGGGACTTTTTTCTGGATCCAATTAAGTGCAGTGGAAGGGTGTGCACAGTAGTGGTGTTGCTAACATTTCCACTGTGGAGTTACATTGTACTGAAAACTGTGTCTCCTAATGTCCTTTGCTATTAGAATAAAATAACAGTTCTGCTAATGAAAAAAGAGCAAGAATATTACTTAAGTAGTGTTACTAAAAGCCCTCCTGTCACTTTTGTGGTGGTATGTCAAAGAGCAGTCCATCCCAGTCTTTCCCAGACTGATGGACTCTTTGATGAAACTCAGTATCTTGATGTGGCCTGTTCTGTTTTCTGTTCCATTTTACTTTGTGTGCTAAGTAAACTGTTATTGGACCAATGCCTGCACCTTCTGTCTAGACTTCAGCTTCATTAGTAAGCAATTAATAAGGCTTACACTTGGAACTTTCCCACCCTTGCTTTCTTCAGAGGCTAATCATATCTCTCCTAAAGAACAATTTCTTTGTTCTTGTTGCTTTATCTGATATTATTAAGCTTAGCTTTCCCAGAATGTTAATAATATGTTTACACAGATTTATTTTTTTGTCCGACACCAGGTCAAGTGCTTTTCCCAATTACTACCATTGCAGTTGGGATGACCGAGATTTTTGACACACCTCTAGCTGCAAAGTCATTTTAACAAAGTTTTGAAAAAGTTGGTGTGAGCAGTCATGAAAACTCGTAGTTGGCAGAGGATAAGGTGCTTTATCTCTGGGAAGCTGATTATAATCCTGACAGAAAAGTAAGGGCTGAAAATCACAAGTAGTTTTGGACAAGCTAGTAGTTTAAATTCACTTTGTAGTTCATTTCCATTGCAATGTTGTTATTGCATGTTATGCTAAAGACTACCTAAATCAAAGATCTTAGAGAGTTACACTGGTTCTGCTTTAATCTTAATATGATGGTGTGCTTTACATCTTCAAAAAATGAGGAATTGTTCTTTTATGAGCTCAAATATTTATTCCCTTTTCAAAAAGACAAAAGAGAAAAGCTTGAGGAAAAAAAAAAATCTATGCAGTAGAAGTTTGTAAAATGCTCAGTTTTCCAGCAGATATTACAATTCTGCTGCATCTTCTCCTGGCTTCCTAAGGGAAATCCTAAGAGAAATTGTAAGAAGTGAGGTCTGCTTCCTCAGTTTTGCATTTCTGTCCAGGTTTGTAAGAGGAGAGAAATTAGACCAATCTGATTGTTAATTGATACAAGCTCTAACTATGTGTGTTTGGATGTTTAGGGACTTCTGGGTGACCGAGGGCCTCCAGGGCCACAAGGCCCCAAAGGAGTTGAGGTAAGATGGAATCCTATCAAGATATTATGTTTAAAAGAAAAAGTTGTGAGGGGTAAGAGGGTTAGACAGCAATGGTTAGGTGTTTATGGTGGTGTCATGTGAAACTTCAAGTTTCTTCTACATTTTGGCAGGTGTTGCAAAGAGGTTTCAGCAGCCTTACAGGGCTGTGCATCCATTATATGGCTTATTTTAGTTATTTCACCAGAATCTCAGATAATATGTGTCCAGAGTTGGATATGGTTCTTTTAGCTAAACTAGGGAGATGGGGGTACAGGGGGGAGGTGGTGGTAGTGGTATGGAGATAGAAACCATATATCAACTTAATTGACAGTATCCTGGATACACTTAAGTAAACAGACCCCTGTTAACTGAACGGGGAGGAAGGCAGCTCTTCATCTTATAAATTTATTGAGTATTCTTAATTCATCGTCAAAATAAATCAATAAAAACTCATGTCTCTTAGGCTAAAAGTAATTAACATTTTAAAATAATCAGTGATTCTGGGGATAGACCTCTAGGCTTCTAAGTAGCTTAATTATGGGCTTCCATGACATATTGAGTGAGTAAAAGCTAACAGTGGCAAAATGATCTGTTTAGTTAAAAGCCAGGAAGCTGCAGGTAGGATTTCTTAATGCCTCTGTTTCCTATTGCTTGCAATTGAAAAGGTTGTGTTCCACTTCCTCCAAAACCTGCAGAAAATCTTCCATATTGAGGAGGATCAATGAACCATAAAATGGTCACAGCATGACATCCTGGCACAGCATTGATACAAAACCATGCTTTAATATAACTGTGTAATGAGTGAACCCTGAAGAGTTAACACTGCAGTTCCCCATCATGCATAATTATATCCATGCACTGCGCAGCACAGGCACAGTGTCTCATTTCTTCTCTTACATACCTCGTAACCCTGACCCCCAGCCTCCCTTCACCCCTGAGAAAAGGCAAGGATAAAACTTGGCAAAATGGCTTGGCTAACTTAGTGGCTGTGCCATAGCAACATGGAAGAGAAAAGAAGGAATGTTCCTACTGCTTTTATAGTCATGAAGTGTCAAATCTTGCTAGAAGAGAGTAACTGCAGGGCAGACAGAGAGGTTGACCCATCATTGCTGAGTCTCTCCCTGCTCAAAATTGTGAAAATATTGCTATAATGGTAGGTATACCAACAGTTTCACAGTCTGTCTGGCTGCATCTCGTGGCTACATAGGCATGGCTTTCTGGCTAATGAATTTGTCTGAAATCAGATTAGTGTCTCTCATAGTGTTTCTATCAAATTTGGACTCAAACACATATGAAGCAGATTTAAGATGATACAGTAAATATAGTTATCTGCAGACTTTCTTTTTAAAGCTAGATTATTGAAGTCATGATTTCTTTCAGGGAGAAGTAGGACCAGCTGGACCTACTGGAGGAGTTGGCCCAAGAGTAAGTATAAGTAATTTTGTTAGAGCAGACTATTTTCAGCAGAAGTACTGCTTAAAAGGTAAGTTTACAGTGCGAAGTGACTGTGTTTAAGTGGCATCTCCTGAATAAATGTCTCTTTCCTCAGCACGTGCTCAAAGCAGAGCTGGGAGGAGAAATGGTTTTCCGTACGAAGGATTTGAAAGGAAATCACAGCCATGGTACATAAAACAAAATTTTTGAAAAGGAAAGAGTCAAGACTACTTATGGTACTCCTCTGAGACAGGTGAAACCACCATGCACTTCCTAGGGACTGAACCAGCTGATATATCAAAATATTTAAATTGGGGAAGAACCCACCATGAGACTTGGCTTACAGGGAGAAATATGAAGGACTGATGCTTTAAGAAATAATTTTCAAACTGATCTGGTAGACAGTTGCTGAAAACAGTAAAGCTGGAATGTCACAATGCTGTTTGTGCTGACATGTTTCAAAAGATAAAAATTTAAAACTAACAACCAGTTTTGCTAGTTGTAAAAACGCACTAGTGTTTAAGATTATTTGAATGGACTTGAAGCTTATTTTTAGAAAAATTCTAACTAGCCTGCACTAGAGACTATGGGAGTGTTGCTAAGTTTATTGAAAGCAATATGATCTTCTGCCTTTACTTGATTTGCTTATGTGTGGTAATAACTGGCTTGGTCTTCATTTTGGATGACTTCTCATTTCTTGCATGAACTTGTGAAAGTCTTTCCCATTGCTTCCTATTGCTATTCCTATGTCATTTTTCCTGTTCATTAGCTAGTCAAAGCTGGGAATTTGTTTTCTGTTAGAAATAATAGCAAAATGCTTATTTGCCCCATGGATTAAGTGTTTTTTAAAAAAATAACTATTTTTTTTAGCTGAGGAAAACATGCAAAAAATTGAACAGAATTTCAAAACACTTTGTGACTCAGTTCAATCTGCCTGAGCTTCAGCCAAGAGCCTCATGGAAATTTTTATTTTGGCTGCATCATACATTGAGTCTCCTCCTTGGGCAGGGTTTCATGGCTCGACAACGTCTCCCATGTTGTGCTGTGGCAATTGGAAAAGAAGATGCTGCAGTGGGTGACTCATGAGCAATGAGACACCTACCTTCACGTTCTTTGTGTCACCAGGCACAGCCACCATTGGCTGGTGTCAGAATGACCCAAGAGGAAAAATTTCTGTGTAACCTAGCAAACTGAAATATTTTTAATCTATTTTGGGTCAGTTTGACCTAAATTATTTTGGGTTTGATTTCTCTCAATGGGAAATGTGTACACCATTGGCGTGTCTTATGGCGCGCTCTCACAACAAGCTATTGAGAGAAGAATGTGTGGATCTGAGGTGGGCCCCAGGGTTGCTGTCTCCAGACATTTTTTAGTAGCTTGCTGGCTAACATCCCCTACTGCAATGAGAGGTAAGGGAAATGGGAATTTTGCTTGATGGGGAGCCCTGCCTGTTTTTCCCCCTCATCCCGGGGCCCATCTGCTCTTGCCTGGATTCTATGGGTTCTGTTGGCTCCAGCTGTTTCACAGTTCCAGGCCAATTTGTTTGCACTGCTGATCTGAACTCTGTTCCCATCTCTGTCCTTGCTTCTTCAGTTCCACTTGTAAAATAGACTCTGTGATTACACTGGAGAGAGAGAGTCCCAATCATGAAGTTGATAAATCTAATATAGTTTAGCAGGACTGAGTCAGTAAGGTGTTGAACACACCTGTCATCTTAAATTATGCTTGCTTGATTGCAATTTTACATTCATTTGATTTACATAGGCTTTGTTTCCATTTTCCATGAAATGAGTTTAAAAAAGGAAATGCTACATCTGAAAGTAAGCGCTATCAAAACTGTGTTGTTACTGAACTAGTTCAATAACCATGAGGGCAGGGGAGGTCTCTGAGCAGGACCTGAAGAAGTCATCTGGCCATGCATGCCCCAAGGCACCATCAGCTGATGTGTCTCTAACTTGGTTTTTTGCAGCCTCCAGGGGTGGGGATTCTTCATTCTCCTTGGCAATCTGCTTCAATTCTTCGCTTGTTTTGCAGACAGTTTTTCTAATGTCTAGCTGTTCTATCTGAAAGTCTTGCCAGAGTCTTTCTCGCTACAACCTTGCTTCCTGTCTTACAGACCTTATTTGTAGGCATGATTAATAGGTTAGTCCTCTTTTCAGCCACTGTTCTCCTGATTTTCCTAGGGTTTGTCTAGACTAGGTAAAGTATCCTTGCAGGTGATATTTTGTAAACCTTTCATTATTCTTATGAAACTGTTCTAGTTTTCTCTTGGACAGTAATTGTTGTGGTTTTACCCCAGCTGGCAGCTAAGCTCCACCCAGCCATTTGCTCGCTCCCCCCCAGCAGGATGAGGGAGAGAATTGGAAGAGTGAAAGTGAGAAAACTAGTGGGTTGAGACAAAGGCAGTTTAATAGGTAAAGCAAAAGCTGCGTGCACAAGTAAAGCAAAACAAGGAGTTCGTTCACTGCTTCCCATTGGCAGGCAGGTGTTCAGCCATCTCCAGAACGGCAGGGGTCCATCATGCAAGACAGTTATTTGGGAAGACAAATGCCATCACTCCAAACATCCTCCACCTTCCTCTTTCTTGCCCTAGCTTTACATGCTGAGCATGACATCATATGGTACGGACTATCCCTTTGCTCAGTTGGGGTCAGCTGTCCTGGCTGTGTCCCCTCCCAGCTTCTTGTGCATCCCCAGTCTACTCACTGGTGGAGTGGGGTGAGAAGCAGAAAAGGCCTTGGCTCTGTGTAAGCACTGCTCAGCAACATCTCTATATTATCAATGCTGTTTTCAGCACAAATCCAAAACATAGCCCCATACTAGCTACTGTGAAGAGAATTAACTCTATCCCAGCCAAAACCAGCACAGTAATGGAGCAGGTTTCTAGTGTTTCTGGAATTCCTCATCTCTTCTACTGTGTAGTTTTAAGGTCAAAGCATTCAGCCCCCAGTTCAGGTTTAGGCATGCGCCAAGCAGGCAGCCATAAATTTTCCCCTCATTTTTCTTCTCCCCCTCCATCCTTGTTTCTAAAATTGCTTTAAAAAATGTGATTGAGACCAAAAAAACATGAGACCCACCTGGTCAATGCTGCCAGGAAAATAGATCGTCCTCTACTGGAACAGAAGGTGAATATAAACCTGCACTTTCATTCTTGGGTCCCACCTTGGAAAAGAATTCCCCTATATCTAAAACAACTGGAGCCAAAACTGAGGATGCTTCCCTCCTTACTCGGGATATATGTCAGGTTCCACAGAGCTTAGCCTCCTTGAATGTCGGAAAAGGTTTTTGAGCTGAATCTGATCACATGATTTGATTTGTCATTCATTCCTTTCTAAACCGTCCTACCCATTCTATTCCAAAGTCAAATACTTAGCCTCTTAAATTGATCCTTCTAAATCAAAAAATGATTTTTTTTAGTATTTCTTTATTTTTCCTGTGAAATACAGTAGATGCCACATTAAAGTGACTGTGTTTATTCGGCTTCCTCCCAATTTACTCTCTTTCTGAAAGGCTATCCAAATACTAACACTGTAACTGTCAGTGTAGCTCAGTGCAAACACTGGTGCATTTTATTATTTTTTTGTATCTTCACTGCTGGAGCAGAAAATGCCTTTAAAAGGGAGGCGATTGTTTTAAACCAGAACTTAAAAAGAAATTGCTGTGAATTGATTCCTTTCTCTGAGATACATGTGTAAAACAAAAGCTGGTATATTTATATAGTCATAGGGTGAGCAGTTCTTCCTGAAGACAGAGGAAACTGCTCTCAAAGCTGCCCCACTCCCCCAGTGCAATATTTTCTGAAGGTGGCTTATGTCTTCCTGTGGGCTAAAGGCATGTGAGGAGCTTGTGGAGCAATGGGAATAGAATGATAGTGAGGGATATGTATTTTAAAATATACACACCTGTATGAACCCATCCCAAGGTGAAAGGAAGCATGGGTGGTTGCTGTTTCCTGAAAGAAAAGGGTAGAACTTTCAGCTAATATTTTAAGAAACAGATGTTTTGTTTGGGATTACCCTGCCCTGGAAGAGTGATTTTCTCAGGGTTTGCAAGCAGAAAAGCAGCCATCCTTAGTTTAACCTTCTGTCAGTGACATGTCCTCCATGTGTAATTTACAGTTGTATTGCATTTCTGTTTAAAGTAAAATCTGTCTGATGCAAAGTGCTTTACCAGTTAAATCCACTTGTTCCATTTTCTGGTCAACTTGCATCTATTCTTTGCAGCTAGTACGTAGCTGGGATACTACAGCCAAGAAACCTTTACAAGTTGTAACTCCAGTTCAGTTCTGATAGGACTAAAATTATCAAGGTAGTTAATAGTGGTCACTAGTTTTCTTTCAATGGATTTTGTTTAAAATGTTTGCTCTCTTAGAAAGACCTTAAGGTTCTTTGCTGAAAAGTAGTTAAACAGCATGTAGTAACCTGCAGATGCCCATCACTTGTTCTTTTCTAAGCCTTGTGGAAAGACATGACTTGCTTTATCTGGGTCTTTCAGAACTTCTCTTCACAGTCTTTTCTCCCTGCGTTCCTGGCTATGCCATGTTTTAACCCATTGGCAAAAACAAAGGTCTGTTCCTAAAGCAGTGATATTTGTTGGAACTTGTAGGGCAAAATGAAATCACTCAGGCAGAGAGAGATAAAAAGGATTAATATGAAGTCATGGAACTTACTAAGACAGTATAATTTTAAGCCTTACAGTTTCTGGGCATCTGAGAAATTTTCTCACACACACATACTGTGCTCTGGAAGATAGGTACAGAGCAGCCAGAGCAAAAGTGCCAAATGGAAACATCCCATCATCTTTTTTTTTAAGAAACCTGTTTGTTATCTGTTGCTTTAGTCGCTCTTGTCTCAGGACAATTGATGTGGAAAGAAAAGTTCTCGTTACAGCATCCTGTGATTTGCAATTATTCAGCCTGCTGGAATAACAGCTGATCACATCCTTTCAGCAGAAATCTGTATCTTTTTTTATACTGAATCATTAAAATGTTTAATTCATTTTCTTTCTCCAGTAGTCAGGCTTCAGCAATCTCATTAGCAACTTGCTCAAGAGCTGGATCCACTCCATCAGACCTTTACTCTTGGGCTAGGGTCTGCTCCTCCTCTGAGCAGATGGGGAATGTTTGTCTAGGCAGGGCTATGCTGTTCACATAACCAAATGGTTTGGCCATGTTCTATGTTATAGAGGAAATATAGTATACCTGGAAGGGAAAAAACCACCTAAAAGTGAGACAATTAAGTTCTAAATGTCTAATTAACAATTCGGGAGAAAAGCATTCTGATTTTTATGCCTTTGTGGGCCTGTGTTAGTCACAACAGAGGGAGGGATGTATCCTGTAAAATGCTTCAAAAATCTTGTCACTTCATGGCCTCCTGCTCCGATTGATGTTGCTGTATTTCTTCCATGTAACAATGTTATTAACAGAGTATCATAGCAGCAAGATCTATTGGCAACAAAATGCTAGTGGAGAGAGATGAGGCTTAAAATAATTGATTCAATGAACAAAGAAGAGAGAATATTTGAGCTGATTTTGTCTCGTTGAGGAAGGACAGTTATCACGCCAGTCCCTGAAGTCTAGACATCAAATTCTGTTAGCGTGAGTCCCTGTTCTGCTGGAATTAGCCAGGAGAGATGACCTTGCCTTTTGTCTCTTTAATAGATTTTTTTTTTTAAAGTGAAATTGAAATGTGTTTGATTCTTGGATTGTGACTTTTTCCTTAGTGTTAACTGCTGTAACTACAAATTCTGCTTCCTGTGCTAGTATTTGCTGTAATAATCAACAGTGTAATTTCAGATGTAGATTTATAAATACACTTGTTTCAAATGCTGGCATTAAATATTACGAAACAGTTCGCTTTTGAGTGCACATATTTGATAAATACAGAAATTGGGATGAAATTGTCTTTTAAATATAAAATATTTAAAATAGTTTATTCTAATAATTATTTTAGGGAAAGCCAGGACAGAAAGGTTACGTAGGTGATCCTGGACCAGAAGGCTTAAAGGTAAGTGGTGATTTTGTGTATGAAATAAAATGTGTTTGGAGTATCAACTGTGCACAATTATACACTGCTATATACAGTGGTATGCCAGTGAAAGGCTACGAGTGCACATGCTTCCTTATAATGTAAACATATATCATACTGGTGATTCTGCTCTCTTGCAAGTTCCCAGTTTGGAAAAGAACAAAACTACGCAGCTTGAGGAGACAGGGATGTGTGAGCAAAGACAGCAGCTGTTAAAATGAGATCTAGCTGCCTGAGGATGTGAGGGTGGCTGGGCCTGAGAACAACAAGGGACCTGGGCAATTCCTGTCCTGGCAGAACTGCAGGGCATGAGGAGGGATGAGATGAAGTACTGCAGTTTGAAAGAGGAGCTTGTGGCAGCAGAATTTCTCTGTGCTAAGTTGCAATCTGAGTAAACAGTAGCCAAATCCCTGTTTGTCAGGGCACTGAGATTACAGTCGTAGCCAGATAATTAATAGTGTGTATCCACCTAGCTTCCACTTGTAAAATACATAGCAAAATGTTCTGGAGTTACGTAATGTGACTTGCAGAGTTATTAAGGGGAACAGAATTAATTAATCTAATACTTAATGTCAGTTCCAAGCTTTTGGGGAGAGGGGAACAAGCTGAAGTCATTCAAATGTCAATTTTCCTAATATTTCAAAACAAATTAAGTTATCAATAATGTGCATTGGTAACACTTTTTAAGCAGTTGTGAAATAATGAAGGTAATTTGCTGAAAGGAAGATTTAAGTAAACCCAAAATAATTCATTTATAGTATTTGCTGACTTAATGTATTTAGTGTGCCCTTAATACATAGTTTTCATTTTTGTGGGCAAGTCCTAAATACATTAGGACAGTGTTTACATCTTTTTTACAAAATCAAAATCAGCCACTGACAAAATGAAATTTTTGCTGGTTGGTTAATTTTAGCTATTAAAGTTTTAATTGGCAGATGTCATTTAGAAAATAAAGAGGCTTCTCGGAAAATAGACGACTTCAATATACACATATGAAAGAAATTACTTTTCTAATGAACTACATCATCTGGTTTCTACATTTAACAGGGAGAACAAGGAGACCAAGGAAACCTTGGAAAAACTGGTGAAGCAGTAAGCTTGAATTCTCTTTCTGGCTTTATTTTTAATTCTATGTTTATTTGAGAGTGAATGAGTAATTTGTTGCAGTAATGTTCTGATGAAGTTTGCCTTTCTTTGAAGCTTTATTATATTATCTATAGTTTTGTGGTCTTTCAGAATCATGCTGTTTAAAGAAATTCTCCATTTTAAGTATTTTCCAGAGTTAATTCTGCTTTTTTCCTAATAGGTTGAGTGAACATTACAGGTGGTTGTAGGGATCTTCCAAAGCACGTTCGAGTAAATGAACAAGCAATCCTTTTCCATTGAAATTGTTTGAGAGGCTACATTTAGCCTGAGATGTATTTTGCAGACTCATTCTGTCTGCCCTCCATAAAATCAGAGCTCAAGGTGACCTTGAGGTGACATGTAGTCCATCCTCTACTGCCTAGGCAGGATCAGTTATCTTTATATCACTCCTGACAAATATTTGGCTAACCAGTTACTAAAAAGCTCCAAGAACAAAGGCTCCATGACCTGCAGGCAGCCTGGGGCTTCTCTGTATTTTTAAAAAGTTCTTCCAATTGTATAGCCTGACTCCCTTCTGCTGGAAACAGCATTTTACAAATGGTGGTTATTGTGTGCCCCCTTCACTCTTACTTTCAAGGCTAAACAGTCACGATTCACTTAGCCTTTCATGTTTTCAAGATAAAGTCACATTCTTACTCTCCTGTAGCCTGTTTCTAATTCATCTAAACATCTATGACTCTAGCTTACTGCCCAAACCGTTCAGACTGCTGAGAGAAAGGAAAAATTCCTACTTACAAGCTGTATTCTTGTAAGAATACATTTTTGCAACAGCATGTTGCTGTTCAATTTGTAATCCACAGTCTCCAATCCTTCTTTTTTTAGTCATTATTTTACCTAGTTCTTCTGTTGTAGGTTTTGGGGTTTTTTTAGTTTATCACTTAAACATACTGCCTTGCAATTCTCTCTGCTTAATTTCATCCCAAGCCCTTTTGTATTTTTAACTTCTGTTTGGGAATTATGAGCAGGTGTGAGCTTGTTGACCAATGCTTGAGTTACCCATATGTTGTGTAGAACCTGATTATATTGGTTTTGTTTCTTGAGTTAATGTATGCTGAGGAGAGATACCATACACTGGTTTGGGCTCAGTGCTGTACTATTTGCTGTCCTCATTGTCTGCAAAATACCAAGCGGATGTACCCCAGGCAGCTCATCAAATGTTTGGTTACCGCTGGAATTTTCAGAACTGCTTCTAAGTCAAGTCCAGCTACTCTGTGCACTCTGAAGACACTGTGCACCAGGGAGGGGACTGAGAAGCTGGACTCTCATCAGTTAAAAGTATCTGCTTAGGAACTAGTAATTCCATATAATGTCATAAGTTCCACTTAAAAGCCAGCATATCTCTAAATGTAGCAAGTATACTTAACAGCAGCTTGATCCATAGCTTTGTTCAGCAGTTTACACATAGCAAAACCTTCATTTTGTTAGGCTGGGATCAGAGCTGTAAAGCAATAGTTTCCATTCCTTATGATACCATTTGGAAAATATGGGAGGTTTTTTTATATTGCTGAATGATTAGGGCAAATGTGGGTGTATGGGTACTGAAGAATGGATGTCACAGTAGAGGAGAATCATAACACTATGTTACTTTTATGGAGAGATGTAGAAATTACTCTGTGCAGGGACACAGTAATATAATCTGTCCATACACCCAGCGTTCCTCTGATAACATTACACTTTTGTGGTTTGGGGGTTTTTTTCCAACAGTGTGCAAAATGAAGCTTTTATTACATATAAATTGTGTTTTTCAGCCTGTAACATGTCAGGAAAAATAGATAGCATTTACTCTGTTTTACATTGCCACGTGCCCCAAAATCCTCAGCAAAAGACAGCTAAGCTCAATCTTAAGTTACTACGTTAATAATAGTACCTAAAACAATCACAGAAGCTAGTTACTTAACCTTAAGTTCCTGGATTTGTCATGGGCTTTCTTTTGCTTCTCAGTGAACTCGAATTCAGTGTGCACATTTTTCCACAAATCAGATATTTTGTATGAACATAATATCATTCACCACTAAATGAGCTCCATTCTAATACAAATGTGATATTCACTAGCTCAAATATATGGTCAATGATTATATTTTGCAGTGATGATTAGTAAAATAATCATACTAACTGCTTAACTGTAGTCAGGAACAAGCTGCAAGAATAAAATAACAAATATTCTTTGTGCTGAAAGAGGGGATGTTGCAGCCACATTACAGTGTTATAAAGAAAGATAGTTATGGCCCATCATTAATTACCACTTCCCACACTTGCTGTTTGACAATTTGCATATGATACAGGATGACATGAGATACAAAGTAGTTTATACGCTATTGATAAATACTCTTTATTTTTACTTGTGGATTATAGAATGTCTTCTGCTTTATGTACATGCATTTTAATCAAATGAGCTTCAAAGGCCCTTGAACCCATTTTATTGCCTTTGTATTACCTGGCAGCAGAGGAGTAACACCCACTGCATGGTCTTTAGGGGGATAATATATATTTTTAGGGGGATAATATTTATTGTGGTTAAGGCCAATGGTAAAATACCAAGAGCAGGAGACCGCCTTTCAAACACAGCAGAACTCACAGGAAGACTTTCAACATCTCTTCCCTTTACTATATTCACCACTGTAATCTGTAACAGTTAAGCTTTTCCTAAGTAAATTGAAAAGTACTAGCAGGAAGAGGATGCTTTTTTTCCTCATATGCAGAAAATGGTTTTATAGATGTGAGCCCTGATGCAAAATATTAACTTCTGTACACTTTGGACATGTTTTTTTACTGCCAGCTTCTGTTTGTAACAAGTAATTTTTCTTTTCCTCGGTGTGCAGAGAGAATCCAGACTTCCTAATTCACAGATAAATCCACTCCCTGCTATTCAGTATTGGCTCTGGTGGCATACGTGGTGACGCGAGGGCGTCTCTGGAATCAAACATGGCATACACACACACACAAAAGTTTGAAAAACTAAAGATAAACTACAAGAGCAAAGTACACGTGCTGCTAGCTGCTGTGACAGATTTTGAGATGGAGCCCAAAAGACAATATGGAGTACGGCATCTGTCTTTGTTGATGCCTTGTGAAGTTTGTCTTACCAGATGCTTGGCAATACCAAATACAAAGAGGATTTGTATAAATAGCACTAAACAATGTGCAATCACTGTACAATTTATTAAATAGTAAAGGTAAAGAGAAAAAGAAATTACTAAAAAGTTGATAGGAATTCCAATGTCTTATAAAATTCTGTGTTTGTGGTTTCTTCCATCTGCACCACCCCACTCCCCCTTTGGCTTATCTATTGTTTGTTGTTCGTTCATGGTCTTTATTGACTGAGTTCTTCAAATTACAGAATATGATCTATGTTTTTAAGCCTGTGGTTGAAATATACAATACTTGGGTTTTTTAGCAATGGGGAATCCATCACAGTATTCCAGTTCTCCAAAACAAAATTAGTGCATTTCCTGAATAAGCTGTCAAAAGAAGCAATTTCGCAATAATAAATCCTGTAACTGTTGATTTCATAGCAAATTATAACATGAAGCCCATGTATTTGTCTGCTATTGATACCAAAGAGTTGCACTGATATTTTTCTTCTGTTTCTTTCCATTTTCTTACTTTTCCTGGTATCATCCATCTTCTGTCTTTGACTAATACATCTGTCACCGCTGCTTGAGGTTCCAAAATAGTTATTGCTTTTCTGTAGCAGCTTTTCCAAGTCAAGTACTGCTTAATATTTGCTTAGAAAAATACAGATGGCAACTGTGCACAAGCAGGGAAGTTTCAACAGCAGGAGATTGGAACATAATGCTTGGTTATTCAGTCTAGTAAGATGGGATATGTGATGA